GGACAGTTGCAAACCACATGGCATCTGTACCTTAGCAAGTTCTTGAAAAGAGGTCATCTGTAGATTTAAGGCTAAAGAAGCAAAAAAAATAATCGAAACAAGCAGAAATGCAGAAATTCACAGCCCAGATTTCCCCAAGTTTTCTTCACCAACTGGCAAGGAGTTGTAAGCCAAAGTCATAACTGCAAGTAAATGACTAAATTTGCTGATACCCTACCATCTGTATAACAACAATGACTTTTTATTCATTGAGAGTTTGAGTGAAAAATAAATCATTCATACTCAGCGTTTCCCCACAGACCTCTTGTTACCCACAGGCCCTCTGCCAGAGGCCACAGCTGTATCTATGGTGACAATGCTGTCTTTGTTCGTTGTTTTTATCCCCGATAAGAATGGATTTAGAAGTATTTGATGCATGAATAATGGATGTAATCACTATTCCAAAACACTGATGGAAATCTCTGCAGTAATTGGTCATATGCACTGGATATACTCTAAGTGCAAGGCTCAAGGAAAGCAGAAAAACATTTTCTTTTTAAGTTTCAGTAATGTGTAAGCAGTTGCATGTGCAGTAAAGTACATGCATCTTCTGCATGATATATGAATGTGCTCATGTTTGACTACACAGTGGGTCTGTGTCTCTTTAAAGGACCAGTGTGTAGGATTTAGTGGTGAAGTTGCAGATTGCAGCCATTTGAATACAACTCAGCCTTCCAGGCATGCAGGAGTAACGACAGTAGCAGCAAAACATGTGAATGGCCCTATCTAGATTTAGTGTTTGGTTTGTCCGCTCTGGGCCATTGTAGCAACATGACGGTTCAACATGGTGGCCTCCGTGGAAGAGGACCCACTCCCTCTGCAGATAAAAACAGCTTATTGTAAGGTAATGAAAACGCAATGATATTATTTTTTAGGAGATTATACACTAATGAAAACATACCTAAGAGTATTATATTACACTGCTACTAGGGTGGGTAAAAATATCGATTCATCAATGCATTGCAATATATTTTTTCCCAATTCAGTATCGATTCATTAAATCCTCTGAATCGATTTAAGCCGATTGGCCAGCAACACCTTTGTGTGATTTGCATTGTACGGACAGAGGCCGCACTCAACCGCCCAACCACAACATGGCAACTGAAGCAGGTAGCAGCAGTGTTAAACCAGCGCCTTCAACTTTAAAAGCAGTGTAAACCCAGAACACAGGAAATAGACAAAAGTAAGGTAGTGTGTAAGCTGTGCCAGGCAGTACTAAAATACTACAATAACACAACAAATTTGCGCAACCACTTAAGCCGACACCATGCAGAGGCTCTGCAGAAACCCGCGGCTAAACCTGTGGATTCAAAACAGACGCAACTCGACAGATCCTTCCTTTGCAAACTGCTGCCAAACTCTGCCCGTGCACAGAAGATAACAGAGTCTGTGGCCGTCTTCATGTGTAAGGACCTACGACCATACAGTGTCGTGGAAAACAGGGGTTTTAAGAAGATGGTATACACACTCGAACCACGATACGCCATACCAACACGCAAACACATGACGGAAGTCGCCGTCCCGAAGCTGTAATTTACTTATTACTGATTCGATATCGAATCATTTAAATCAATATCGAATCGAATCGATATCGAATCGAATTGTGACCTAAAGAATCAAAATCGAATCGAATCGTGAGGTTCTTAACAATACCCAACCCAAACTGCTACCAATACTAGACCTTTCACTAACACTTGTTTCCGTGTCCAACCTAAATGCCACACCCTCAAATGACCCCTTATGGACCAATTGACCCAGTTCTCAGCATCATAGGCCCCCCAGAAGGGACCATACCACACATGCACACAGTCACACAAATGCACACACTCACTCACACACACTCACACACACACTTTGGGAAACCCCTTTGTATCTCTACCTCTTCCTGTCTGTCTTCCTCTTGCCTGATGGATTTAGCACACTACCCCTAGCTACATAAATCTTCACCCTGTTCATTCGCCCTGCGGGACGTTATATTTATCCCAACTCTTCCAAGCAACACATTTCAAAAGAGTTTTTCTATGACGCATTCACCTGTTGTTGCAGATTTTTAAACGTTAATGGTCACAGTATTTGCAGGCCTTGATGAGGAAATAATCCTTGATCAGTCAGGCAAGGCAGGTTTACACACACACACACACACACACACACACACACACACACACACACTCACACACACAAATTCACCGGTCCAAGAGGACTTCCTCATATTGTCCAGCATGTTGATGCAGGAAATCACCTTGATTGATATCCCCCGTCCCATACTGAATCAAACGTTGTCTGTTTTATGGGTTTCTTTGCAACTTTTGAATATGTGTGTGTTTCTGCATGTTGCTTGCAGCCCTGAGTTGTCTTTGCTTGGGCTGTAACCAAAAAATAAAACTCTTTATTTTCTTATAAACAAACAACAAAAGACACCATATCTTTGGCAATTTGAAACATTGCAGGATCTGTAATTTCTTATCTCCCTTTTTTTCTCATAAGGGATACTGTCGGAAAATTATTCTTCACATTCTACGTAGATGAGTGACTTGGAGTCCTTGGCACCTGTATATCCCTGCATTGTAATATTTATAGTTTGAATCCTGATTTTACGATTCAGACATTTTGTGCATTGTTTTAAAAGGTAAATCCAAATAAATTGATTTATCGCCCAGCTCTTGTCTCAGATACTGACTGTACAGCTCAAATGTAGACTCCTAGCTATTTCTGAGTTGCAGATATTCAGCTATTTGTTTTTCTCTACATTTGCACTGTGTCGTATTTGTTATCTTCTTGAGAAAGAAAAAAAAAATGGAGACATTTCATGATGCTGCTTTTACTTTAAGCCCAACCAGTTTGTGAAGGCGAATTGTGTGTATGTACACACAGTTTCTCTCTCAGGAAATTGAAGTTACTCTGTACTTGTTTTTCAGGTATTGCTTGCTAGCTATATAGGAGACAAACTCTGCAGGTGCTTTCCTCACTCCTACAATTTGTCCAGGTCTATATGTGAAAAACTATGAGCCCATCTGTTTCATTAGATCCCATGTTATCCTACGCTGGGGATTTCCAATCAAGCAAACACACACATATGCTTAATGAAGGCACTTCCACACATCGCTGTCAGGTCCTTCCTGTTTCTGAGGTATCTGCATTGTGCATGAATGGAAATGTGTGCTGCTGTTTTTTGTTTTAAAATTCAGCTGACCACTGCAATGTGTGGCAGTGGCTGCTTACATAGAGAGGGTGTAGATAGATGTGTTTCGTAGCCGAAACTTAGATCAGGAACTGATTCACATTAACCGTAAGTAGTCAACAGTCATAGGGGAAGTTTGTTCCACTGGTATGTGTCCTTGGCACCTGTAATAGCATTTCAGCTTGTGCCCTATTTATTAGCAACTTTCTGGTTCATTTGGCAGGTTTTACTGGCACTAATGGTGAAAGAAATAATGTGTACGTATCAAGGAATGTCTCACAGTGATGAACAACATGTTAAGGATGTTGTAGTCTATACTTGACCACTGGTGTGGTTTGTTAGAATGATCGAAGAGAATATTGCTGAAAAATCACAATTAACTTTTGCTGTAACGTGCACAGCGGTAGGTCCAAAAGGTTAATAAAGGTTAAAAGACCAACTCGGATCGGTGATGTTTGGAGCTGTGATCTGACACTCTAGGTAATGTGTTGCAGTATTTGCAACACCAGGTCATGGCATTTTTAACACGCAATGCAATGGGGTCCATGCATTGCGTGTTAAAACTGCTGCAGTGCAAAAGTATTTGTGCATGCAGATATTTATCTGTCTTTGATTCTGTGTGCAGCGGTTTTAACAGTTAAAACAAATACATTTCGTACTTTAAGACTACACTATTGCAAGTCAAACAAAATCATGTCTTATAGCTTGACATACACTTGAAAAGATATAATGATGCGTTAGGCTTTCCTTCTTGCAGAAACCCCTCTGCAGACTGTTTTTCCCAAGCTACGGTTATTTGGAAAGTTGTAAATAATGTGGTGCATCTATTTTTAAACTTTTTTAAAACTGTTTCCTTCTGTCTCACTCTCTTTCAGCTTTTCTCTCTCTCTCATTCTGTCTGTCTAAATTTAGAATGTCATCTGCCCACTCATTGTGACAGAAAGGAAATGCTGCGTATGTGTTAGCTCCTACACTTCGTTAATAGTTTGTCTTAGAAAGGTGAAAACAGGGTGTAAATTTGCCCAGCTATGTGGGCCAAGAGTCTTTTTGCATGAATGTGTATATGTGTATATGTGTATGTACATGCATAGTGAGTTCGTTATATCAATACAGTCAAATATGTGTCTGTGTCTGTATGCAGCAAAATAAAGAGAGGGAAAAAAAATCTTTGGAGACATCATGTTCATCACAGACCCCTGATATATGACTGAAGATGTAAACAGAGAGATGGAGAGAAGGGAGAATGAAAGACTGACAGAGAGTGAATACGCTGAAGGCAACCGGAAGCTTGTGGTTCAAACAGGCAGTATTCAGCTGCTGAGGCAGCGCTGTTAACTCGCTGTTTTTGAAAGTACTGCTTTTCTTAGAGGGATCAAGGCTAAATCACACCACACAAATTCCTTTCATTGTAGTATATATACAGCCTGTTGAATGACCCTAAGCCCAGCGTGTGTGTGTTTGTCTGTGTGTGTGTGTGTGTGTGTGTGTGTGTGTGAGAGAGAGGGGGGATGAGAGAAATAGATATAAAAAAGAGCAAAATGGCGTGAGTAAATTTGAGTCAGAAGTCCAAAAAATAGAACCCTATCCAAATACAATCAGCCTTGAGACAACTAAACACAACTCAAACAGGTTATGACTCTTTGACACGCTCCCAACACCTGCACATACAAACACTAACACTCTCTCCCCCTCTTTCTTCTCTCCACCTCCCCCTTAACTCCGCTGACACGCACATAGTGCTTATCCCCTGTCGCTACATCGTAGCGCCGCACAAGAGGAAATACGTTCAGCAATGAATCGCTGTTCTCGCTTGACTGTGACTCGCTCTCCCTTGCTCTCTCTCTCTCTCTTTCTGTCTGTGTCACACACTTGTTAGTTTCAGTACAGAGTGCGTTGTGTGTGGATGTGAAAGATCTGCAGTTATGTTTGGTCCGTGCCTGTACAGAACAGGGTAAGTTTATCTAATACTATATCTAGTTTACACCTGTTGTACTTTGACTGGTAGATTCTACCAATGGGAAGTGGATGAGAAAGGTTTTGGTAGTTTTATTGCTTCATGTGGTGCTACAGTTGTACGTTTGGACATTTTGATTTATTTGGTGGCTAAGGAGTTAACTGAGTTTCAGAAGGCGAAAACATTTGTTTTCATCCTGTTTTCTTGTTTCTGTTACTCAGAGTTCTTATGATGTTGTGAGAATATTTCTGGTTTATGTTTACTCGAAGGTTCAACAGCTTCATGAGCTCTCTATTTGCACAAAAGCTGTTCTGTAAGGATGAGTTATGGTCAATATGTTGAGAGCAGTTTTTTTTTTGAAGAATTGCATATAAATGCTGCAGGAAACTCAATTTCCTGTGCCAATTACCAACCTGTGTTTGTTGTGGTTTTGATGGTCTCACATTTATCTTGGATATATTAATACCATAAGGGTGATTGTTGTTTAGGTATATTTGGCCAAATGTCACTTTGAATTTGGTGTTGTGGAGGTTTGAGAGGTGACTCATAAATCTATGTGGGCCCTGGGATAAAGGAAGTGGCTTGAGGGTTGAAGTAGTCGCACTTACTTGTAGGAACACATTTTGGGGAAGTTTAGTGTGGGACCACTGCACCTGTTAATCATCAGTGTGTGTTGGTAGGTCTATATATGTGTTAGAAGGTGTTTTGTGGGGGTAGAGTTAACCCTTTAACCCCTGGCATAAATGTTTTAACTGGAGACAGTACGTTTTTCCCACACAATTACAGAAAGAGAACATTCACATGCTGGTAGAGATATTATTGTCAGCCCGCCTGTGAACAGAGATAGTTTTTTAAATAGCTTCATTAAACGTATCTGTAATTTTACACTCAGCAATCAGCCAGAAAAAAAGAGAAAACCGGTCATTGGTTACCCACATTTACTGTCAGCTTGCCATAAGTCAGGTAGAGTGAGAGACTGTCCGCCCACTTAATGTTTGACCTCAGATACAAGAGAACATGACTGACAGTTCTTGTCTGTGTCCTCTTTCTATTTGCAGTTGATAGACCCACAATGCATGTGAGACATGACCAACAAGGCCCCCTGGGATAACTCAAACAGTATGTGCAGCATGGAGCCAACAGGTATACACAACACACACACTCAAATAAAAATACACTGACTCAGTGTACAGAATACGTGCAGTATCGCAGTTACATTCGCAGTCATTTGGTAACATGTCTCTGGCTTTGAAGTTTTTTTAGTTTATTCTTTATTAAATAAATAGAATGGATTATAGTTTTTCAGGGCCAGTCTTTTTAAGCAAAACCATTTTTTTAATAGTCTTAAAACACCCCACCACTCAACTTCCTCACTCAGCTGGCTGCTCCCCCACAGTTCCAGAGCCAGAGCTCTACCGCAGCATCCAGGCTGTGCTGCCCAGGGAAACGGACAAGCAGCAGTCCCCGGACTGTTTCAACAAAGGTACAATATGATGTACTGCAACACAAGTAAAAGAACATTTTTACTGAAGCACTAATGTGGTTTTATGTGTCTCTGTGTGTCTTTTTCTTTGTGGTTTAGAGTTTTCAGAAAAGTGGTGACAACAAAAAGAACAATTTTTTAATTCACAATGGTGTGGATAAGACATCACAAAACTCATTAAATTCTCTGCTGGGGACCTATGTGTTTTAGTGTTTTTCTGTCAGGGCTATTCTGTTTCCACCCTGAATAGACTAAATGACATCAGCTCTGCTTGTGACCCTCACACTGGAATATTTTGTTGTGTCAGCAGTGTGAGGGCTGTTCAGTTATTAGTCATCAGATATATTTTGTGCTGTAATGGAGAAAAAGTGTGACACATTCATCAAGTTTGTGTTAGTCCTGTGGAAATCTCTTGCGTCTGTTAATGGTTCCTGTGTGTTCATCTATGTGTGCAGGCATGCTGAGATGGACGCTTCATAAGAAGGTTCAAAACAATCCTGCCAACAGCTTATCTCTGGTGTGGGTGCTGATAAAGGAGCTGGAGAAGGTACTTGATCTCAGAAGTGGCACTGTTGACACTTTGAAGTCCAATTTTAATGATCTTGGCACACTATTTGGCTGACTTGCTTTATCTGAATGATTTGATATGTATTGATTGGAATTAAATGTACTGAAGATTATTTATATGAAAAAAAATCATATCTTAATCTTGCATTTAAGAAGCTGATCTAGTGGCAATGTGCAGTCATCAGTCGGGTGCAGCCCTGACATAGCGTTTGTGTGTGTGTGTGTGTGTGTGTGTGTGTGTGTGTGTGTGTGTGTGTGTGTGTGTGTGTGTGTGTGTGTGTGTGTGTGTGTTTTCTCTGCAGGCTGAGAGATGGGACTCTCGCAAATCCATCATCCCTCTGCTCCACACGCTTATGTATGCCATCATTCAGGTACTGTTTTTTTTCTCGCCAAATAGTTGCACTGTGAAAAGCCTCAGACTTGCTATTTCATACTTTTTTCATTGAATGCATACATGGGAAATTTTCACTTCATCAGTTTCCAACCATACTGAACAGATCATTTCTGTAATATTACTGTCCCTAGTTCTTCTTGTCCTTTTCGGGTGGTGGTAAATCTGATTGAATATATTTCTTGATTGAGACCACAGGCATAATCACACATCCTTATAACATAAATCTCCAAATCTGCCAGACATGTTTGTTTATTAGTTCTGCCACATTTTTAAGGCATGTCATTTAGGGAGTTTCAGCGTTGTTACTGCAAATATATAATATATATAATAAAGTGGATTGAAATAGTACCAAAGAGGAGGAATGTGTTTCTATTCCAGGAACAAATGTCAACAGGGAAGTGGACACCTAAAAACATGGCATTTAGGCCTGTGCCACATTGCTTTCCCTTATATTTAAGCAAGCAAAAATAATGTGATGATTACCATTCTCTAACCGTAAAATAAATTGTTTCCTTACCGGTATTTATTGTAACCTGTGTGTGTGTGTGTGTGTGTGTGTGTGTGTGTGTGTGTGTGGGGGGGGGGGTGTTGTCATTGATATTCCAGGCAGCCTACATTCCAGATGAGCTGTACAAGCGGGTTTATGATTTTTGTAAGAGACTCCTGACCTACCCTCATCCCTACTGCACTGTAGGCCTCAGCTACACAAGACAGATAAAAACTGAACGCTCCATTCCAGGTATTATTAAACTCTCAGTCTAAATTTAAAACAGGAGTGATCGGTTTATTTCTGTCAGGACTTCAGAACAACCTGCTTGAGGAGCTCCAGCTCCAATCAGTGTTACCTTTAAACACACTATTTTAGCCCGTACAGACAACACACAGTTTGGATGGGGCTCAACAACCAGGAGATGATGATGATGACGTTGACAATTGTGACAGTGATGTTTATTCATAGGTCTTTTGTAATGATGTTGTGATTGTGAGCTGTCATTTCTCACAAAGACAGATTCCCTCAGTCAGGTCAAGCAAATCATTAAACAGCCAATACTCATACTGTTGACTTTAGAATTATGTATTGTGTTTCTTAACCCAGTTCCAAGTTAGGGCAAAAAAGGCACACCTGCTTTAAATACAAGATTTATTTTTACCTTATAATGCAAGAGAAAAACTATATTAAGCCAAATAGAAAACAATGAAAGACTACAACAAATTTAGCCAAACTTGATAAACCTAAAAGATAGCAGATGCCGGTTACTGTGATGTTTATTGAACTGTCCATTCATCAAGCATGCTTCAGTTAATCTGTATGAGGATTTGCAGCCATATACTGTCACTAAACACCGGTTTGATCCACAGGTCTGATGTACCAGAGGATGCTCACAGCAGAGCAGAGACTAAAAAATGAGCACTATCCCTTTCAGGAGAGGTGAGTCATAAATAAATAATGTATCGCTGAGGATGCAGTAAAAGCCTGAAAAGGAGAACTGAAGATTTACAAAGGCTTATTTTATTTCCTCTTACTGCTGCATGTAGTCAGACTTCCTCCCCTGTCCATAACATCAAATGTGCCATGTAAATCCCTGCAGGGTCTTCGTTCTGGCTGACCCAGAAGTCTTCTCTGGTCCTTTGGGACAAGTCCTGTTGGCTGACATTGAGGCGCCTGCTTCAGCTTCAGGTGGCCCTCTAGGTCCTTTTGATCACATGCGCAGTGTGGTCCAACACTCCATCCAGGCTGCTTTAGGAGCAGAGCAGTGCCATGGGCAGAAACTGGCTCAGGCCCTAAAGGTCAGTGGGACTGCACAATACTCATTGCCTTCTATTTTTAGTTTTCTAGTTGTCTTTTGTGGTCTTTGCAGTATATAGGCATCTATAGTTTCTAGTTTCTATTATGGTTTGTCTGTTTGTTCTCTGACTCTTGTTCTGTTTAGTTGACCACAGGTTTACCTTTTTTTGCTCTGTGATAAATGTTTCTTTGGACTCACAAGGCTTTGTAAAGAAAATATGAATCTTTTCTGCATGCTTGCCGTTTCCACACAGAGCCTGGCTTAGAATCCCCTGTGTTTGATTGTTTACTTATTAACTTAATTATTTTAATCAAATGTGACTTTTGAATTCTGACACTCACCTCACAAAGTTTGCCCACTATTGTTTTGTTGTCTATTTTTAGTCTTTACCTCTGACAAGGCAGCTGCACTGGAGGAAAATAATTTCTCACATTATCTACTGAAATCCATTTGTGAATATATCTGATGTCTGGTTAGATAACATTCTACAAATACTTAGAAAGGATCACTCCATGTTGCTTCCATTCTCTTTAGTCATTGCCACTCTGTGGGATTAAAAAAAAAAAACCTTTGTACAGTCTATTGCACAACATATTTTTTAGCAAGTTTAGCAATATTACATATTTCTCCCATTTGAATTCTGGGGGGGAAGTGAATGACCTCTGTGTACAGTGAAAGCACGTGCATAACCTCTATGGTCACTACAAATTGTGATGTTTTAAGTGATTGCAAGTTCTTACCATGATGGCTCTTGAGCTTGTGAGTAGTTTTAGTAGAATATGATATTGTCAGGTGAGGTGCTTCTGCATTAAAAATAGTTGAAGAGTTGTGTACGTGTCATGTGAAACATCCGCAATGAAGGTCTGTTGTCTTTGAGCTTTATGGTGAAAATGTCTCCTGGCACTGATCCAAAAGTAACACCTCAGCAGGACACACGCAACGGCAGACACGCGCGCTACTGACCCCTCACCTCTTTGCTATTAATACAGACTCTGTATGTGTTTATCTTCCTGTGTGCATGTGTGTTCACTCACTTGTGTTTGTGTGTTTTTGACAGGACATGGGTCAAGACGTTGAGACGTACTTTCAGGAAGTGCTGGCGACTCTAGAGCAGAGTGCGGAGGAGGGCGGCAGAGGGGAGGGGGGAGCGCTGAGGAGTCGTTTTCAGCAGCTGTACAACGAGATCGTCAGCAACACTTACTCAGGTACGAGCGCTCTGGAAAGGAAATACAGCAAAAGCCATGCAAGTTTCTCTGAGGCACAGCTGCTCTGTCTCAGGCATATATCAACATATTGGTCTAGGGTAAATATCAGTGAAGGAAGGAGAACCACAAGAGCCACAGTCACATCTGGTTATGTAACAAACCGGAGTCAAATGGAAGAAGCAGCAAGAGATGAGACAAGGATGTAACTGTGAAGCTCTAGCAATCTTAATGTTAACTGATGAAAACTTTCTAACCATACAAATCTTATCTTACATTAGAATGGCTTCTGTTTTGTTGCTCTTTCCGCTGTTAAGGGATGATAATGGTAAAGGTGACATGGATTGTGTATGCATATTTTGTGCATGAGTCCTATCTTCTAAGTTATGGTTGCCATTTTCCTGGTTTGCAGTTTTATTGTCTAGAAAATGTTGAAACTCAAAACCGGGGCCTATAAGCACTGTTTACATGCAGATCAAGCACACATTGTCAGTGATGGACATGTTTTCTGTGTCCACAAGGGCCTCACATGCTGGCTGTAGCTGAGATCAAATGTGTGACCGGTTTCCTCCATGACCAAATCAGTCGGTATTTTTATAATTTTCCGGATATCTATTTCAATGACATCCACTCTTTTCCACTCTATTATTGAGTCAGTGACCTGTCCGGTGAACCTGCTCTTCCCTCATCCCAGCTGGGAGATTGGGGGACAGACAGCGCTGTTTGCAGGGAGGAAGTTTGGGATGTTTTGTTTTGAGTGTCATTGTGACAGTTTTGGTCTCGTCCTATCTCTCTTCCTGTGTGTGTGTGTGTGTGTGTGTGTGTGTGTGTGTGTGTGTGTGTCTGTGTGTGTGTAGCAGAGCCATTGTCGAGTGGACCACTGTGTGACTGCCCTCTTCCTAACCCAGAGATGAGCTTCCACCTGTGGACGGAGGATCTGGATATCTGTGAGTGGCTCCTGGATACTGTGGGGGGTCTATAGGAAGTTGTTGGAAACAGTCAGTCAAAGTGAATTAGGCTGAAACTGGAATTATTAACTGAAAACTGAACTGAATAAAGCAAAGGGATTTCAAATAGAGAAAAAAGTACCGTAAGTACTTTTCGTCTCATAGCTCTTGACTTATTCTGAAATACGTAGGAAATCTTCTTCTCCAATAGATGTGTGAGGCAATGTGCAAACAACTAATTATAGCACGTAACACTCTGTTACAGTCTGAGAATATCTGAGAGACAGATTGTTCCTCTATGTTGAACTGAGTTTATCAGAACTGGACTCTTCTCGGTACAGGATGTTGCACAGTAAAGGTGTAAAAAATTCTGTGAAAAGCCCTGATAGCCTCATGTGATTTTTAAGTGAGCAAGATATGTCCTGTCCTGCATTATATGTTAATTAAGTTTACTGTCTAAACTCACAAACACTTAACTGTAAATAAAGGACAGTGATTATTCCCTATGTACTGTATGCATTGCTGCATCAACAAGCACTAAATGCTAAGGGATCACAAGGCAGGCGCTGATCACATTTGTGCACTCATCCCCGCAGGGTTGTTAATAGATTCTCAGATGAAAGGTTTATAATATCACACCAGCAGCTCCCTTCCTCAGAGGAAGAGTGGGCATCTGTACCCTGCAGCTCCATAACAAAACAGCTGGAAACTCTTGTCTATGGTCTGTTTATGATGAGACGTATGTCTACATGCCAGTCCAGATGAGATGTGTTGTTCCGTGCTGTGTCTCAGTCTGTGCTGGAGCTTATGCTGCCTTGTTCAATGTAAGTTTCAACCTCTGAATCACATGTAAGTGATGAATGTTAAAATGTTGACAGGGCGAGAGCTGGGCAACTGGTTTCGATCCAGCTCCATGTCGGAGCAGTTCTCCCTCAGCCAGGAGCAGGAAGACTTTGAGCTGGGTGAGTCGCCCAGCGACCTGATGCCATCTGACATGACTCGCTTCTCCGTCATGTCCAATGACAGCGGCATCGAAAGAGACCTGCCCCCCAGTGCTGATCCCTTCCCATTGTCATCTCTGGACACTGCCAGCATGAGTGCATCATGGGAACAATGCAAAAGGTAAATCTAATCCCTGTTATTCAGCATTATTTAAAGACCTACTACTTTACTTACTTGCTGTGTTTATTGTAAAACATGCATTTTCCAAAGCATACCTTAAGTTAGAATTTTAGAGCCATTGGTTTCCATGTAAATTATCTTGAAAGATGGTAAGAATTCACTTGAAATAAAATATGTTGCTGTATGTGGTATTCACCAAGAACATTTACTGTAGGTCACTAGATTTTCTTACAAGGAAACTCTTACACAAGAGTGTTGTTTGCTGAACATCGGTGACACTGATGACGAGATCTTTTGCATCACTTTTTTTGGTTTCCAAGCCTAATCTCATTTTTAAATTATTAGGACGAGTATGACAGTAAACCTTCTCCTTCTCCTAGTGAGCCGGATCCATCGAAGCTGTTACGGCGGGGATGTATCAAGGTGAAACCCTCTGTGAATATGGTGCTGATGCAGGACACCCTGGAGGACCACGCAAGCCTCGCGGGAGCAGGAGGGAATGGAGGGAGGGGAGGAAGAAGAGGGGCAACTCTGCAGAGGCGGGCAGGAAGCAGCGCAATGCAGAACCCCTTCCCCAAGCAGCAGAGACACTTTACTGCCAGGATAGTCGCCATGGGGGATGACAGGGTACTGGGCCGCCTGGCCAAAACCTACTACTTCTTCAGGTGAGACACTTATTATGTCACAAGATGATGATTTTTTGACAGCAGCTGGAGATTTGTATGTATGAGCTGATAGAATATATTGCTTTCAGCTGTTCAATTTATATCCCTTTATTACATCGTACTGTAGTAGTTGCATGTTATCATGTATGTTGGTCTTTCTCAATAACACAATAGCTCTATATCACAATACAATAAACAGTAAAATAATGGAAATATAAATCTTAAATAGATGATATGAGATTTTGGCGCAACCTGCCGCTGTTTTTGCATAATAATGAGGACAAATAATTACCATGGAAATTGCTGTAAACAATACAGAGTTGAAAGAAAGTAAATATACACATAAAACAAAAGTGTATATTAGAAATTAAAAATAATATTTTAGATAAATATATTTGTTTGCTATGTTTTGATGGTGTTGGAAATGATCTCACAGAAATAGGAGGCTAGATTCAGCGTGTTCACACCTAGTTCACATATACTGTGAGGGCTAACACTCATTAAGCAACAACAATACAACTGCATTATTTCAGCTGAACTGGAGAACTATAAAATCACTACTTCTTCTATTGCAAACTTCAGATGTTAAAGGCCTAAACTTTTTTGCTGGGATTGTCAAACTGCTCAGTCCAGCGTACAACTCACTTTGTGTTTCTCATGGATCTTTGGTTTGTCTTTGCAGGAAAAGGGAAGCGCGGAGGCTTTTTCTTACAATGAAAGTCAACCTCCAGTTTTACTACATCCCTGTTTGCAGGGCAACAACTCCCATCTCCCCTGTCAAGGTAAGCCAACTTCCTCTTGTCAACACGCCACTGGCCTGTTATTGTGTGAAAGTCCCCTCACCTCTCAAGATAAGAAGACAAGTGGCTTCCGTTATAACAGAACATCAGTATGTCAAAATGTTATTGTTGGTTTATTTTAAGTACTAATGTGATACTGCATGGGGAAAGTAACAAGTAAAGTAATGAAGTGACTACAATTCACCAAGAATAATGGTCTATTAATATGATAGGAGTCATTAAAAACACTTGAAGAATAATGAAAATCAGATATTGCACAAGACGTGCAACTTGAATTCTACATTTGTTCCAACACAATATACACATTTGCTTTGCTGTTTTGCTTTTGCATTTTATTGAATTTATTTAAAAATAAAATTATTAAATGTTATTTTAAGTGTCTTTTCTCCAACATGCACTTCCTTTTTAATAGTCCTGACTTGCCCCTGTTTGCCCTCACAAATTATGTGAAACTTAAAAAATGCAGTGGAATTCACATTCAACAACACATCATCTCTTTCATTACTTGCTATCCTCCCTCAAACGCATATGCACAAAGGACAGAGGCACTCCTCGCTGCTGACACACAAAGTGTGCCTCAGATGAGCTATGGTTTGCCCTGAACATAAAAGTAAAAGCATGCAGTAGCTAGAAGAAACAAAAGGTTCATACTTGTCATTTTACCTCACTGCTGCTGATTTGCCAAATTTGATGTAGTTTTGGTTCCGCTTACATGTTCCTTTTTTCTAGGAAAACTTCCATCAGGCCAAGGGGAATCCCTGCGCTCTTGGTTCCTACTTGAGCATGGTGGACCCATGGTACAACTCTAACATCAGAAGTTTAGGCTGCATGCTCCCCAAACTGGCTGAGATGGTACGATACAATCTGAAGGAAAACACAAAACACATTCATTTCACAGTAGGAAATGTGTCTGTGTTTGTTTGACTCATGGACGCTTGCTTCTCTTTCACTGTATTGTAGCTTTTCTTTTACTCTATGAAAATGTCATCACATTACCGCATCCCATTCAGTCAACGTGGCGACTGTTCTCAGCATAGGTTGAAACACAGGAAGTTGCACAACATCTTTTACTGTGAAGAAAATAAATATGTTGATTTCACTGAAACCATAGCTACAGTACAGAGCTACAGTAGTGAGTTTAAGCCTTAAACAGAAAGTAGAACTACCATGAAAGTGGAACGCAAAGGAACATCTAGAAAATAAAGTTAAATGTAAATGAACAGTTAAAGACTAGATTAATTGATCAAGGTGACTTGTCTTTATGAGAATTATGGAAAAAGCTTGTTTTGTTCTAGAAAATATTTAAAGTCCTTCAATTCCTTAATTTCCCTTGAATACTAGATTAAATGTGATTTGTAATGCATGTTATTTTTCTCAAAATCCTGCATCTTCCTCTTTCTTCCAGAGCTTTTAGTTACTGGAAAAATGTGCATTTTTTGCACCTTGTCACTTTCAACTTGTGGCAGAATAACTCTCTTACTAAAATTACTCTGAGTGAACATTACCAACCACTGTTGCAGCTGAATGTAAATGAAGCAGTTGACCTTTTAGTGACTCATAATATTAACCCAAAGTGAGTTTGTGGTTATAACATCATGCAAGTAGGAGGGTTTCTCATGCCTTTTCTCTTCTTCTCTAGCAAAAGGCCAAATTAGGAAGGCCAAAAGACCCCTTTGTGTCTGATGTCATTTCCTACTATGTTCGCACCGGCCAGCAGCCCGTCTACTTCACCATATACTTCGTTAAGGTAGTGTGATACATTATATGTGTAGATTTTTGTTTCTGAGCGTCAAAAAGGCAGTGAGCTCTCTAGTCTGAAGCATCTATTGAGCTGAACAACTTTACAGCTTAATATTTTAAAGCAAAAATATTCAAAAATGTTGTTTGTTTCCATTAGCTCACATTCACCAGCCCGACAAAGGAGCCTGTGGAAGATGTGTTTCTTACCAATCTAGAAATGGAGTTCCCTGAGTTCAGACAGATTTCAGCGTCAATTAGAGGTGAATTGTGTATACAAATGCATTATGTTTCCAGTGTTTTCTTCGATATTTGTGTTTTTATCTGCACAGCTTTGTATGTGTGTGGGTGCACAACCAAGTTTAACTACATGGCTGCTCTTCAAACAGATAAACAGAAGAAGAGCTCAGGGGAGGTATGCGGAGCTGTTGTCTCAATGAATTACAGAAAAGTAAGTTGTCGTTGTTGTTTTTAAAGATTTGTTGTTTCCTTATTAGATTACTGTTGTGGGTGTATCCCCGTAGCCAATCACAATTATCAGAACATTCAATTTTATATTGTGTTGTTTGTGTGTGGGATGCCTTTGTGTGAATGCATAACATCTGACACTTGCATGTTTTGTTTGCGTGTGTCCAGGTGACATTAAGTGGCCGAGACATTGACAAGGGAATCTCAGTCAGGACGTCAGGCGCTCAGATCAACGCTATTCCCTCCAATGAAGCAGAAGGTTTAGTATTATAAAACTCTCAATATTTCATAGATACAGTCAAATGTTCCTCTGTATGTTTTTTTTAAATATTTCATGGTTATGTATTACTCTAGAGCTTCATTAGTTTATTCTTCTTCTGCCTTTGTGTCATAGATCTGAACTGTTTGACACTGACATTAAATGAATCTCCAACAAAAGCTAAAAACAACATTATGGTGAGTCTTGGCAATATATCTCCTTGAGTTCTCAGATATCTCTAGTGAATTATCTTTACAAAGAGTGGTTTATTCAACATTAAATGCTTTTATTCTTTTATTTTGAAATTTCCAGGAGTCAAAGATACGGACCAGCAACATTAAGATTCGCACTTTGGAGAGTCGATCTTTCACTGTTACACTAGACAGAGATTGTCGCAGGACCTACAGAAATGTGCAGAGGTAAGAGAGTCTAGACTCTGCTGTACTGTTACGCCACTGATTTGCATCACTTTTCTCAATTAAATTTTTAAATTAAATAATTAGTCTTTTGTACAGATAGCTCATAAGAAATGAAAATCTGAAAACACGTTCTTTTAACACATTCTTGACCAATCTGGACACAGTTTCTGTGCAACCCAAACTGACGGCTCTACTTTCAACATCTTTGTGTTATAGCATCGAGATCTCCCCGTGTCTTGATCCAGGATACTGCGTCCAGAAAAACATAAGGTCCAAATTCAAGTTGGGAGAGGACAAAGAAGCTGGACTGAGCAAATACATGAACAAAGGACTTCCTCTACCCATCAACACATTTGCTGGCATCATCAGCTGATGTGATGGAGTAAGAAAATTAAGACCATCCACGCTGAGGTTTAGATGGCGGAAGAGTTGCTGCTTCTCAGAAAACAGAAGTCCCGTCTGACATAAGAAAAGATAAAAGGAATCACCTTTGAGTCATACTGAGCTGCTCCTGAAACCACATTGTTTCAGTTCTGTTGGTCATGACTGACTGCCATGTATGAAAAAGACTTCAAATCAAAAGCAACTTGATGCCAGTTGCAACACATACAGTGCAAGTGTGACTTCTTGCAGTCAGTGGAACAACCAGATGGCTTCTATTACAGTAACAGGGACAACATGTTATTACACTGTAGGGTATGGTTGAACTCCTAACAATGTTTCACTTTTCATGAGTGAAGTAAGAATGTCAGTAAATATAACCAGATTTGAATAATGCCAAAGAACAATGTTGCCTGTGACACTGGAGTGACTGGCAGGGAAGAACAAGTAAGCATGGGATATACCTTTAAATATACATTAAAGATTACTGACATTTGGATCACTAATCATAAATACTTAACAGGCAATCTGGAAAATCTGATATGAAGGGTTGACTGTCTGTAACAGTTATTGGACTTCATAGACACACTACCTTTTTACTGCCTCCTTGACGCATGCACACACACACACACACACACACACACACACACACACACACACACACAGTAGACAAAAAAATGCAGACATACTGACTCCCCTTGACAGTCAGTTATTGGAGCGTGCAGATTGTTGAAAGACTGGTACGATGACTGCTGGAGTTTACTGTCACCTTTGTTTTAGCTGAAAAATTCAAATAACTTGTTATTCCCGTACCTGTTTCATAATTTAATCTGTTCTAGTTTCTAGAACCCCACTATGTTCAGTGCAGAGGCTAGAGCCACATTCAAGGTCAGGAATTACTACAAAACAGAAGAAACGTTTGTTTTACTGTATTAGACGTACACATGCACAGACCAAGCTACATATAAATCAACTATAGCTTCAGACCGCTGACTTTGTTCTTGGTGCCATTGTCTATTTACTAGACATGCAAGACTGTGTGTTGTATGCTTGATAATATACTGATCAAGACAAAGAGCTAAACTTGGGGACACTCAAAAGTGAAACCTGCACATGTTCAACTCTATCAGCCTTGAGGTGTGAAAATCCCCTCTGAAGCTGTTGTTTGTTTCAGTTAGAATAGATAAACTGCATCTATTTGCACTAAAACTGCTGGATTTTTTCAAAATAATTTCCTTGTGGGAGTGGAGCAACTGTTTGTAAAGCATGTAATATGACTTATGACTACATGTGTAATTATGTTATCGCTTTACAAGTTATATGTATGTTTATATATATAATACATTTATAATATACATATTATTAGACTACACATCTCAAGAACAGCTCAGGATCCTATTTCTGATGCACTCCCACAGGTATGGCAGTTAAGGTCAACAGCCTCAGGAACTGGAAGTGAGGCTTTACTGGGTGCACAGCATAACGTGTGTTTGTGTGTGTGTGTCTGTGTCTGTGGCTGGCAGGGTAAAAATCATGAGTTTTGAAATTCATGATAAATTTTGCACATTACTTTCATCTCGTGTTATATAAAGACGATGCCATTCAAAGCAAAATGCAATTCTGTAAATAAATGATTTTGTTTTGTAAAAGCAGTGGTTGCGTTTTATTATAAACGTGGTAAATATCAGTTTGAATCTCTACACTTTCTTTCTGAAAAAAAAACCAAACTACGTCTTCTGAGCTGTTTTGAAAGAGGAAGTGGTTTTTTTTGTAGTTTTGCCTTGACGCACCGTGGAGTGAACGCGCCCATGCTGTAAGTGCGTCTAGTGGCAGCCAGGTGGCGCTGTTGAGTCACCAGCCTGAGCGGCGCTGAGACAGGGAGACTCTTGAGCGCTGCACACACACCGGCGCTTGCTAGAGCAGGTGGGGACCGCCAGAGCATCTCGCTCTCTCTCTTTGCCTCTACAGGTTGGTTACTGACTGGCGATGACTCAATGAAATACGGCAGCGGACTGAGACTGCAAGACCCTCCCCTGTAGTTGTTTCCCAGCTACTGCAACTGGAAGCGCAGGGAAGAAGAGAAGAGAGGAGCAGCTGCTGGACAGATGGAGAAGAAGCAAGGATCTCCTCATCAGTACGGTTCACTGGAGCGCACAGAAGGGACCAGAGACACCAACGAACCAGGTTACTGCAGTATTATTACATGTTGAGCTATTGACTGAGTTTAAAGAGAAATAACATTTAATTCACCTAATGTGTCACTGTACTTAATCTTATTGCCATAACATGACTGCAGGGACTTACTTGGTTTTGGTCTTTGTCTTGGTATAGTGAATTTACAGTGATCTTAATCTGTTTCTACATATATTTTATAATACAATCTATGGCATCACCACAGTGTGCCTGTTAGGCGTCATAGGTTTGTTTTCTGTCTTGTCCCACTACAATGTATAACAGAATTTCTACAGTTTGTTTTCTGGCCTTTTACTTTTATATCAGGGTCTTGTTATATAGTTGATAAAAACCAATCAATACATTTTTCTAGTTGCAGCACAGGCAACAGCTCTGAAAATGTCAAGAATCCACAGGTGTCTGTTCTTCTAATTTGTGTTTGTGTGTGTGTGTGTGTGTGTGTGTGTGTGTGTGTGTGTGTGTGTGTGTGTGTCTGTCTGTCTGTCTGTCTGTCTGTACTTGTGTAAGAGAAAAGTGAGGGCCCATTACTCCATGACCTGCACCTCAAATGATGAATAATGACTCACATCTGGGACTTGGCAGGACACTGGCCACATCTCAGTCTCCAGCCAATAGACTCTTGGGTCAGAAGTAACTGAAACTCTTCATTACACTGTGCTCCTCACTCTGATAGTGATACTTGAAAGCCTACAACAAACAATTATTTTCATTATTTATGCATCTTAATTTTCTCCATGAATCGTTTGATCTATAAGAAAAGAAAATAGAGAACAATGTCCATAACAGTTTCCTTAATATGTCCTCAGATGTCCTTTTTTGTCCAACCAGCAGTCCAAAACCCTAAAAAAATCAGTTTATAATCATATAAATAAGAGAAAAGCAGTAAATCCTGACATTGGAGAAACTGCAGCAAGATATTTTGTTAAATTTTAACAAAAACAAATGCGTGAAACAATTAATCAATTATCAAAATAGTTTTAATTCCAGCTCTATTCCTCTACATTGCTGATGGACATTGATGTTTTTAACAAATTATGCTCATAATAGCATCATGTTGTCAAGGTGTTTTGATCGTACTGACGCACCAGCTATGGAGTGTATTGATGTGATCAGTCAAGTGGGAAGTTTAGAAAGCTGTGCAGGTCTCTTAAGACTCTATCTGTTTTTCTCTAATTTTACTCTTCCTTTATTCATCTCACACACTCCTCTTGTTCCCTCCACTTCTGCCTTTTGGTCTCTAATCTGTCTGATCTGTCTGTCAGTGTGCTGTTCTACCTCATTAGGCATAAAGCATATTGTGGCAGTGTAAAAAGAGAGGGATTGAGTCAGAGCAAAGACCGAGCTCATGATGTAATTCACATCTTCAGGGGTTTGGATAAAGAGAGGGGCGATCTGGGGGAGTATGGGGTGAAATGAGGAAAAGCAGAGGGAGATGGGAAACGCTAAACTGTGACAGAGTGAGAAAGGGGAGAAAGTGTAAAGGAGGGAACATTTCAGAGAGGTCTAGTGATGAGTCATAACTGCTCAGTGGCAGAATAACCTGTCCTTGAGAGCCTCTGCAGCAGAACATGTTGTTTCTAACCATGTAAGAATATACTAATGCTCATGACATCATGTTATACGTTTTCTTCATCCAAACAGACCCGAATCCAGCTCACAGTATGGTGTTTCAGCCAGCTTCATGGTCATAGTCAGTAAAGCTTGTGTTTTTGGCAGGGATATGAACAATAATGTGGCCCTGTAGGGTGGTAGTATGCATGCAATGTTGTGTCAGTGGGTTCTGTTTGTACTTTTAAGCCCAACGTTTCATCTGCTTTGTGAACTAGGTGTCACTGGTAAAGTCTCATTTAGCGTCTTTACACCTGCAATGTAATGAGTATGCGGTGTGAATACGATGTGCAACTAGGGATTAGAATACAAAGAGTGAGTCTTCTTTCTGTCTTTGTTTCGCTCTCAGTTTCTCACTCTCAGGTTCACACACACACACACACACACACACACACACACACACACACACACACACACACACACACTCACATACATACACAGACAATGCTAGCTACAACTGTAAATCCTTTTGTTTAATGTGCACACTCTTGTGCATTGGCTTGCCATGCTCTCGTAGACATTTTCTTTTAAAACAGCATGAATTGTGAGACACATTTTCCATTTATGTATTATGACAAGCATGTGTTCCTTTACCATGACAATATTTGTGATAATGTCAAGAATCAGGCACTTTCTACTCAATCTTTGTTAGAATACTGAAGAGACCTTTTATTCACAGTAGACATTTGCTTCTTACTGACTGGGCACAGCAGAAAAGCACAGGTGAAACTAATAGCATTAACAATTGCTCCCCTCAATGGGAGTTATATATTAAATAGTTAGCTGTTTGCTTTCGCCAAGTGTGTATGCTGCAGAACAAATCAGTTCAGCAGTTTGATTTCAGTGAGCAACTTATCTTTTGTTAAGGATCAGGTAAGGGTTGAGTTTAGGGAAATAAAACTTTAAACTTTAAAACTTAAAAAAAAATTTGGTTGAGATTAAATTAGTTAGTTAAACTAAGTTAGTTGTTTTGTTATTTCTTTATATGCTATAGAAAAAACAACACCAATAGTGTAAACATTTTGAATTTATGACTCACATGGCATGAAAAAAAGGTGTCATCTACAAATTGTTAAAAAAGCAAACCAAAATTGCCTCCTGGATCTAGCTTAGACATGAGGTTTTGATCTTCTCATAGGCCATACAGGGAACAGGCATATTACCTGGCAACAGGCACCTTACATTTGCTTATAAATAAACCACAGATTGCTTATTTATGCAGTCACAGAATTCTTACATTTGAGTGAGAAACCATATTTTAGCTTAGTATCCTTCTATGAAATGCATTTGAATTAACTTCAACAGTTTTGAAACATATCAGAAGGTGTAGATATTTCCATGTATGTTATGTCATTTATACTTTTAATCTCATTAACAGTTTAATAGTCCCTGCAACAGCTTTCTCCTCTAAGATGTCAAGGTTGTGTTGATGCTACACTGACGTCAGCCAGTGCAGGGTACAGAATGTCTGTGTGAAGATGTCTGTCTGTACTTCAGGATCCTTTTTTTGTCTGCCACATAAAGCAGACTGCAGTTGCAGGCCCACAAACAAAGCTTTAATGCCAGCAGGGATATAAATCCATGTAACCAGCAATTATCACCCAGCATGGTTAATGCTTCCCATGGTGCTTTTACTACAACCCTGAAGTCATACAATCCCAGTTTGAATTATAATGATACACTCCTATTCTGCCTCTTTTTATGCTAGTGGAGAAAACGTGTCTTCAGAGCACTTTGAACCCAGTCAGCTCTTATCTTCCCCAAGGCTATAGCTAAGTAATAGTGTGTGTATATATAGAGGATTTAAGGGCCCCAGGAGGAGTCAGAAACAGTCTGTCAGTGGCGGTATCTCCCTGGTTGTGTCCTTCTGAGCTCCCATGTTGTGCAGCTCTCTGCAGGGAAGTGACAGTTATCCAGGACTGCTAAATGGAACAATTCAAGTGCAGACAGTGGTGATTTCCTTCAGATGTCACTGCAGGTCTTTGACCATCTACCTTCAAGAAAGTCAACCATACTTGAATCTCAGGGTAACTTAAATCTAGTGTTTGTGTTCTAACATGCATGGCTAAAACAATTGCACTTTTAGAATGTGGTTGTAGTTAAATGTTTGATATGCTGCTGCATTTCTCATAGTCTCATGAAGCTGAAGCTGCTCATGGTGTAGTAGCTACATTGTGTGAAATGCTTTGATGTCCTTTCATACCACACAAGCATTTCCAGGGACCCTGGGACAGATCCATTAAAAAATATTACAGAGCCGTTTGGAGAAAGCCTACATATTGTTGTAAATGGTGGTTGAGATTTACACAATAATAACACTGTAACTGTCACAAGTGACTAACGCCTTTAATTGTCATATGACATTGTACGCTGATGTGATAAAATAGACTTTTTTCTACCTTGATTTCACTCTGTGGCTCAGATTCATATGCCTCTTTGCCTTAGAAAGAACGTAACTGGATTGTTGCTCATGTGGAACGTTCAGTTTTCTCAGATGTTAATTTAATGTAGTACCGTGGTCGGACTACAAACTGCATTGTTGAATACAGAATGACCTGTAAAAGTAATCACAGATATCCTTCAATATCCAAGCAAGGTGAATCTTGATGTGACAATAAACTACCTCTGTGTTAAGGTTTGCCACTGATTATATCAATTAGCCTACTTATCAGTAATCCTACTTAGGTAGGGCTGTTTATTTTTTTCAATTAATCGATAGATTGTTTAGTCTGTAAATTGTCAGAAAATAGTGAAAAATGTCGTGTGAATCGTAGTTTCCCAGAACCCAAAGTGTCTTGCTTTGTCCAACCAAATAGACCAAAAGAAGATATTCAGTTTACAAGGAACA